TACTGAGGAGATATCATAAGGGAATTCGAGTTCCCTCCATTGTTTCTCTTCAAGACTAGCAATTATAACAAACTCATCAGCATCAACTCGGCCTGTATATTCCATAATCAACACTACCTTGTAAATATTCATCGAGGAGTCGAAACAAAGACCCCCACGTATATTACAATCATCTTCCAATTGGTTGAGCTCAAGCACTTTGATGTAAAATCAAATGGCAGGATTCCACAAGTAAATATGCTCATTTATACTAATCAGTATAAGACCATGACAAGAACCTAAAATCATTGAACTTGGAAAAAAAAATCTCATCATCATGACTTAGAGGGTAATTGAGTTCTTCCACAATGAGTTGTTGTTTTATTAATTGAAAGGAGGGGTTAGAGTTCCATGTTGCGTTGACAATTGCTCCTTCTTCTCGTCGTTGATTTGAGAGATGAAAATTTGGATTTGAAATCCAACAATGCCATGACCGTAAAACATACTTGAATCGTAATAGAGCTTTCACTGGTAAAACAAAAAGAATTATCATAGTGATTTCATCGGGAAGATACACCATTTTGAGAAGTAAAACTCTATTATATAAAATAATAATAGAAAAATAGTAGAGATTGTTATTCTCGAGAATTGTGATGTAAGATACCATCATATTTAATTATTTATAGTCTATAGTAGTTGAACAAAACTTGTTCTCCAACAAATTTATCTAATATAATTTTCAGTATCTTTTAATTTTTTTTTTCTAAACTTAATTTCTATTTATTTTTTTCCGGAAAAGGTTGTTATTTTAACTAATAAATATATTAGCAATTAATTGATAGGCTTAAACTTAGGGATTTCAGTTGTAGATTTTTATTTTTATTTTTTCTATATTTTTAGGGAAGGTTGTTATTTTAACGTGATAAAAGATATAGAGTAATTAGCAATAACTCTAACAAGATTAACTTATATCCAGGGTGGTGAAATGACTATTTTAGGCTGTCAGAAATTCTTAAGGCGTATAAATTATATAATAGGTAAGATTCTCAATTATTTAATTTTTATATATTATTATTTAAATATAAATAAGAAAAGAGTAGTCTAAGACAATTTGGACTCTAATTATTAAGTGTCAAAAACACACCTAAGCTATTCTTTTTTTGAGTTTCATATATATTGGGAGTGTGGGTATCATATTTAACATTTTATTTTTGAAATAAATAATGTTTTGTCTAGTGAAGTGTGATGGTGATAATTTTTAAAAAAAAATTGGGACAAAAGAAACGTAGTATACGGTTGGTATATGTTTTTATATCTATCTTCTAAATGCATTTTTTTTCAACAAAGTTTAAATGAAAATGTTCTACTTTTTAAAATCGGTATCTTCAAGTAATTTGTGATCACGGACTTCAATAATCACAAATGATTAAATTCAATCCTACAACTTGTAACAATTCTATTACAAGACAAAACTAAGCAATAACTCTATTGCCCACTATATTAACTAACTTTAGTTAATCATAGACTTTAATCAAACACCACTATGGCCAACTCTAGCCATGAACTCCACGTAATCAAAATACAACTAAAATGATCTATGATCCTTTATAACACATGAATAGATCTTACAAGGCTAGGGTACAAAACACAACTCATAGCAAAACCGCTTAAAACTTTTTCTCAAATAATTACTTTATTAGGTACCTTGTTGTTCTTGTGAGCTTGTTCTTGTTGGAGAGTCTTTCGCTTTTTCAAAAACTTGTTATGCAAAAATTAGGTTGTTTCTTATCAAAATGTCCAATATAGAATGTATAACAACAATCTAGTGAAGCGCCATTGGTGGAGAACTCTGCCCCTCTTCTGTCATGTCCACCTACAACATCAGGTGTGATAACTTTACAAGTATTTACTTTGATATAATTTCTAAATATTTCTTATACCTTTTTATAATTTTTATCTTTTAACATATTATTTCAAGTTATTGAGACTTAAAATTTTGAATAGTCCAATAAAGGTTATTGTTCATAGATATTAGTAACTCTAATAAAGCTCAAAACAAAATCAAATCAATATCAATTAATGCTAAAATATATATATATATATATATATATATATATATTATATTCAACACTAAGAATGAAAATAATGTTGAATATTTATTTTTAGTTTTACATTGATTTAGACATTTAAAATACATAACCTAATTTTAATTTTTTTTAATGTTGAATCATGTGTAATTAATAATTTAGACATTTAAAATACATAACCTAACTTTAAATTATGATAATTTTCATTATGACTTATTAATTTGCAATATTTATTTTATGTGATTTCATTATTATTTTTTATTAAATATTTTAGTGTTATCACTCATCTCATATTTTGTGTTATTTTCTTAAGAATAACTTTAGATAGTTGTAATTTGATAGGACTAAAGAAGTACTCCATCTGTTCCTAATTACTTGTCCACTTTTCCTTTTTTAGTTGTCCCTAATTACTTGTCCATTTTAACAAATCAAGAAAGGACAAAATACTTTTACATATTATACCCTCAATTAATTACTTTGAAAAAGCTAGAACTTCTTGAGAATCTTAAATTTTAATTTATCCACTTCATAATTAATAGGGGTAAAATGATAAACTCACTATATCAATAATTGTTTTCTTAATAGGTGTGCCAATTCAAAAGTGGACAAATAATTAGGGACAGAAGGAGTATTTGGAGCACAAGTTAATTACATGTTTGTATGAATACTTTACCCAAAAAACTCAAAAACACAAAAAAAAAAAACCAAAAAAAAAAAAGAGGTTGAAAATTTTGAATTTTATTAGTTTAATTTGAATGATTGAAAATTCGACACAAATTATTTGATTTGATATTTAGAAAACTTGAATCAATCCACGTGTACACCCCTAAAATCCTATTGTTTTAGTGAAGGATAGATTCATCATCCTAAAGTCTCAAACCTAGTGTCACTATCCCTCAGACCTTTTGCAATTATCCAAGAAAAAATGGGGGAAGTACACAAATAACTTATTTGAAAGTCACTATGTAAACATAGCTCAAGTATTCAATTTTTTTTATATGTTTAATACCCCTTATTTAAAATAGATAAGCATTACATTAAAAACATCCTTAAATTTGACACAAATTATTAGTTTCATTGTCAAATTATTGACAATCTTAAAAACATCTTTCCTACTTGACTAATTGAACCTAAATATATCCTCAATCTGTCACATGGTATAACAAGTATTTTCATACTCATGTAGGAGCATGCGACTCTTAATAAGAAAACACTCTTGAACTTTGCGAGAATTATTAGTTTCGCCCCCGAACTATTGACAACCTTAAAAACACCACTCTACTTAACTATCTGAACTTAAATACACCCCTGATCGTACCACATGGATGAAATAACAACTCCACCCTACCAGATTTTTTTCCTATAATTTTTTCACCAAAAATAATATACCCACATTATGACCTAATTTTTTTAAAAATAATCTCGTAATCATAATTCTTATAATAAATATTTATAAAGATTAATACAAATAGTTGGAATATGTTTAATAAAGAATTTTGTACTAAATTATAATTTGAGATTGAAGACTGTAACGACATTCCTACAATTACAGTAAATTCAAGGTTAACTAATTACACTCCTTTAATTCCTTTATGAATATCTCATAATTAAGACACAACACTTTAGAAGAAGCTAAAGGATTCATAAATCTAAAAAACTGGTGGAATAATTGATGTCAAAGATCCATAGTTGGTCTTTGTGTATTTACGCCAAAGTAAACAATTTAACAATAAGTTTTATTGTTATGGTTAAAAAAATTAAACTGAACTGCAATTCGAACTAAACCGATTAAAAAATTGATATTTGGTTTGATTTGATTTTGATTTTGATTTTATAAAAATAAACACAAAAATAACCAAACTAAACGGGGAAATTATATATAAAATTTTGATAATTATTATATAGTATCATAAATAAAATATAAATATTTTGTTAAAGTTTAATTAACTTAAGTTTTTAACTTTATCATTTTCTCAAACCCAACACTTAAATTTTAGCCAAACTTTTAAAATCCTAAGCACAAGTCCATCAAAATCCATTACTTTAGTTTTTACCTACCCTACCTCAAATCAGATAGTCACACTTTCTCTTAATTGAATTACTTTGTTTGTGTAATAATAACTCTAGTATTGCATAATTGAATCCACAGTATCTGGCCTATGGATTGTTCATGTACTAGCTACGTATATTCTCAACAAATTTATTACTTTCGAATAGAAAAAATCGAAATAACCAAATCAAACCGACAAAAATCAAACTGGTGGTTATTTTTTTCATTTGGTTTGACTTGATTTTAGAAATTTAAAAACCCACTAAATTGATTTAATTTTGATTTTAATCAATAACCAATCCATAAACACCATTTCCAAGGTTCTTGACAACTTTTATATAATTTGTTAACTTTCACAATATGACTGTCTTTATATTGTGAATTTGCTTCTAGATTGGAGGTTGTTTGAGCCGAATAAGCAATATTATCAAACTGATTGCAATTTTTTTTTGTCCGTGAAAATCTCTCCAAAGCACCCTCTACTTCTTAATAGGCCATGAACTAGATCAGAATCATTTTTTAAATTATTCCTACTTCAACAACTACAAGTCTACATTTTTACCCAATCCACTGATGAACATTTCTACCCAATCTGGGAAGTGGCATCCACTGATGAATGGTTATACGACGATGGTCCTTATGAACTAATCGTTCAACACTTCTTACTTGACATAGCTTGTTACATGGGTCGTGCGTGGGAGCTTAGCTTCTGTCTCTTGTAAAAGTCTTTGCTAAGGACCAGAAAGAAGTGTATTTGGACATGCAATACTTGGAAAGTTTCAAATACTTTATCTGAAGTTTGCAAACACTGGGTATCTTAAAAAACCAAAATTAACTTAAATTGCAGAGGGTGCAATTCCCATAAAAGAAAAAAGAACACATACTTCAACTAAAAAATAAATTTCTAGAATATTGTCTTTACCTTATGAATTGCAAGTAGAGTGAGCCCATCTCAGGCTTCAACTCAAAACTATCTAAAGAAGTCCTCCTTACTAAGTCACTCTGAAGATTTTTTATCTATACAGAGAAATAAAGGTTAAATGGGAAGATAAGAGATATTCTACATGTCTACCAACTTCTTAACAGCAGAGGCTTAACCCCCCTTTGATCACCAGGTTTACCATTGCTTCTAAATTATGGAGTCGAATAGAAAAAAAATCAATGCATTTTCTTTTCTTTCCTTTCCTTTCCTGAGTCTACTTTGGAGAGGAATTCGTCGGAACTATCCATGAAGCTAATTGATGCTCCACTTCTCCCCAGTTGTGCACTTTCTTAACCATGGGATGCCCATTAAGTGACGCACTTTTCGACCATGGGTATGAATTTTCATAATCAAATAGAAGAACCTTGATTCCAACTTCCGCGCACTCAATAGCATACCTCGGATTGTCATCAATCAAAACATTTGCTCCCAGGGACCTAGCACAACCAGTTATCTAAAGTTAGTCAAACAGTGTACATACACAAGTCTTCCACAGGTCTAACAAGACAATATAGTGGGACGGAGAATATGGTCTTCTAGCTAGATACAAAAACAAGAGGGGCAACAATCGTCTGCTTTGTAACATTATGTGAAAAAACTGAAAATGGTGTATCTAAGGTCGTCTGCTTTGTAACATTATGTGAAAAAGACTGAAAATGGTGTATCTAAGGTCAAACAACTTACAATAACAAGAGTTAAAGAGGCCTAAGGAATATAATTTTGTAAGTTAGCTAGATATCAAAATGGATGGTGGCATCAATCTTCTGCTTATGACATTATCTGAAAATGGCGAGGCATTGCAGAAAAATAGAACAAAGAGAAAGCAAAATGCAAAGGGCGATTGATAACATATACCTACAAATATCTGATTTGGCTATTGACTGCCCATTCAGCGCAAAGTGATTCCCGAAGTGCATTTCCTGAAACAAACCTGGATAATGCCTCTCAATCCACTCAATCGTATGATCTTTGATGGCATTTTGTCGGGACCTATAAAACATTGGTCAAATTAGTTCCTAAGAAAATACCCCATGCAAAAGGTATCAATTAATTGAAGCAACCGAAGGGTCCTCAAATTACGTACGTCACAATTGATAGATTACAGAATCTAGACAACTTTTGAAGAGTCTGTTGAGAACCGGGAATTGGATGAATTCCGGTCTTGAAATAAGAGGTCTTGAAGAATTCATGGACACGGATATCAGCTGCCACAATATTTATGTAAAGTTAAAAACAGAAATGTTGTCGGACCACAAATGCATAACCTTGAATAACAATATAACATACACAAATATCCCATAAAAAAACAAAATGAATGCATTGAAGGATCAAAATCAAATTAATCTGATGCCATATGTCTAAAGAATTGCAGCAGTCCACACCCATCAAGTTTTCAGTTATCACTACACTAGAAAACAAACAGCATACAGTCTGTTTATTTAAACTTTAACAATTTCAGTTGCCAATTGAAGTCTTTTCTATAGTCAAAGTATTTATTTTTTCTTGATTAGTCAAAGTATTATAAATGTCAATTAAAATTAAGAAGAGCAATAGAAGTAAGGGAACAGGAAACAAAGGCGCGGCAAAACAATACATTCAGAACGCACCAAGAGTGATACTTGCTTGGAGGAATAGAGGCAAGAAGAGCATACACAGAAGTAGAAACATCCAAGAAGAGAAAAAGAAGCAGGGTTGGAGCCAAAACAGAGAAAAAAGTGGCACATGAGAAGTAGAAGACAAAAAAGAAGAGAAGAGTGCAGGGCGGAAGAAGCAATAGGAGATAGCAAAGCAAAAACTGCAGAAGACGAGATAGGTAAACTAATCCAAAAGATGAAGAAAGAAAGATGGATAACTGTACTTGTATGCTGGAGTGTAGAACAAGCAGTTAGAAGTTGGGAGCATTCAAAGTTGAAGCCTGGATGGCAGACAGACAAAGCCGCAAAGGATGCAACCGATATGACCGAAGGCCTTAATCCTCTCCTTTTCTGTATCCCTTTGCAAGCGAACCATAGCTTAGAAAATGACACCAATTATAGGACACCACACTGAATGTCTATGTGCTTTGTTGCAATCACTTTTCACACTATTACCGATAATCTCTTTCAGGAAATCCATTCCTTTTAGCGTCTCATTTCAGTTGTTTGGGGAGGAGGACTGTTAATCCCTTATATGCTAGCAACCTAACTTAAAGAGTGAAGCAATTTGTCTATGAAATCTTCCAAATGCAGGGTCCTGGATCAGATAATATAGTGATCATAAAAGATCGGAAAGGTAAACTTCACAGTAGGTCATCTTTGACAGAGTTTTCAGCATTGCAGAAGCATTACTTTCAATCTAATTGGAAAAAGTGAGACTAAAATGAGACCAAAAGGAGACAATTTTATCAATGGAAGGAACTTGGCCATAATAGCATACGGAAGGAAAAAAATAACAGAGCTTAGTCACATTGACAACAATGGTGTCCAACAATTCCACGGGGTACCTGTTATCTCTCACCAGCACGAGGGACTTCTAATTTATCCCCTTGTATGCTATTACACTAACTTTTAGTGTGAAGAAATTTCTCTATCAAATCAGCCAAATGCAGGGTCCTGGATAGATAATATAGTGATCATGTAGGTAAGGTGATAAAAGAATGCCGAGAGACTAAAGTGAGACCACAATGACAATTTTATTAACGGAAGTAACTTGGTTATAATAGCATATCAGGGGAAAAAAAGGAGCTTAGTCACATTTTTTGTGAAAATGATGGTATCCAACTATTCCATCCATGGGGTACCTGCTATCTCTCAATGGTACCCGATAATTCTGCCCATCGAGGCTTCAGCAAATGGGAAAAATTCACCTATGGTTTATGGCCTCTATGCTAGATATATTTTTCAAAGACCACCTGGTACATATGTCACAAAAGGGAAAACATGGTGGAGAACATAAATCTTAGCCTCCCTCTACTAGGGTTTGAATCCTGGTCTCCAAGTTTTCCCCTTAATTGACTGCTAAGCCACACCCTTGGGTGGAACTTAGTAGTAATATTATGACCAAAATAAAATTAAAAAATCTCACTCCAGCTTAAACTGTACCCTAAATGTCATCACCACTTTATCACAGATATCACAAACACGAGCATGCCAAATACCTCCAATCTGAAGTGGATAAACAAAAGGAGAGCAAAAGTTGGGAAAACACCTTGAAATAGTTGCTTCTACCTAAATAACTCAACTGAAAGGAAAGACCCAATAATACCTTCATCTCTTGAGCACTTCCATATCTGCAATGATTAGAGAAAAGGTAGCTCAGAAAAGTACAACGTTGCAGGAGAAGGGATATATTAAGGTAACCAAACAAGTGATACCTCCTCAGTTACAACAGCATTTCGTAAATTTCACTACCATTTCTTTGTTTACCAATTTAACTCTTTTGATAGGTAAAAGTGGATTAATCGTTAATACCAATTAGCAATCAAGTAGAGGACCATTTGCGAAAGAAACCAATAAATATACACAAAAGTCAACTTACAAAAAAAATGAAAACACAGAACCCAAAATGACCTCCTTACCAAAATATATAATTCCTAGCAACACATCTATCTTCCTGGATCCAAACTAAAACCTTTTCACCTAGATTACTTCCAACCTAAGTTGCTCGGACTCTCCTAAAATGTTGCCACACCCGTGTTGGATCCTCCAAAAATGCACTGCGTTTGAAGGATCCGACACGCACCCGATGACATTTTTGAAGAGTTCGAGCAACATAGCTTCCCACTACCATAATTTAAACCACACTTTAAAGTCTTAATTCGGACTGTTATCTTGTACTTGATCTCTTTTTGTTGTTCTCTTAGTTTGCCTTCTAGCCATGTTGCATCAATTTTTCATGACTCCTTGCCTATCTTCACTTCCACCCCAAGAGACTTCCAAAGTTGCCCAATATCTGTCTGTCATTTAGTCTTTTGCGTTCTTTCCACTACAATTAAGGATATTGTCAAATCATGTAATTCAAACTTCATATTTGACCCACTTGCCAAATCTTCCTTGCAGCTCCATCATAACAAGTACCAGAATCCCAATAACTACTTTGTCATCTTAAGTGTATCTACTGAGATTCTTGAACGCCTGTGCTCATGTTGAATTGTTATTCATCTGCCACCTTCTTCTCATCCTGCCTCTATCAATTTTGAATTGAGAGAGGGAGAAGCAAGCCCACCATCACAGCAGGATGGAGAATGGGATTGAACTCTCAACTTTATTTTATAAAGGAGGACTGAACTCTCAATTTAACCTTATATTTGATATGATATCTTCTCATCCATCTGTCCTATAAAAAAATAGTTCTCCTTCCCTTTTTCGAACTTCATCAAACTGTGTCCACTTCCCTAAAAGACTTAATACTACAAAAAAAAATCATGTGGCACCTATTTTTATATAATAAATTATTTCTTGTACTCTTAGATAGATCAGGCACCAGGAGATTTAGCACTCCAACTTCTTTTTTTAATTCTTACAAAAAACAAAAGTAATCAAATTGTCCATTTCCCATATCAATAGTATATAAATAACATTATAAATCTTCTTCCAAATTGGGTAGGTGTTCTCATCAGTTCCATCAAATGATTGGACGATATAGGTAAAACCATTCCAGGGCGCTGAGCTTTTAGTTATATTCAGTGTTATCAAAGGTGAAAAGCACCAAAAGCCATAGTCATCTTGTGAGATACCAAACAAAACACAACACAATTGATAAGCATGGTACCTTGAAGAACTCATATACATGATACTCGGACACCGAATGATATGATGAGTAACGATCTGCAACAAATTCGTTGAGGGCTGAAACAAAGTTCCCAAGGACTGCAAACCAGCAAATAAAAACAGATAAGGATGACAGGTGAGCACACAATCATTTCATATTTAGAAACATAACACAAATTTCTAAAAAATAAGAATTACAAGGAAAAGATAGTGAATGAAAATCAGAACCGCCAATATTATGTGGATAGGACAAGTAAGTTTGCAATCATATGTGTTTTAGATAAGCAGGATTACAGAACTACACAAAAATGTTGATAGTGTACTATTAGGGTTCAGCATCTATGTATATGCAACTTTTCATCAAAAGGGGTTTCTTGCTAGCTACCCTGATGCAGGCATTAACCACAATTGTAACAACCCTACATTTAAAGGGAAAGTTTAGTTTCAAGTACCTTCATCAACATCAACAGCTACAACGATTTTATCATGTAAATCCTGGTTAAAGAATCCAGCGGAGCTTCCTCTGTGAGATGGATCATTGTTAGTGTCAGAATGCTTAGTAGCACTACTAGTACTAGCTTCCTCCTCATCATGTACCAAAATCGGATGAGGTGGAGCAAAAACCTGAAATCCATTCATATACTTATTGTTGCTACCCGCACAACTTATATTTGAATCATTAGAAGAAGAAGAAGAAGAGCAACCCCAAAGCCTGAGACCCATCGCCGCCGCATTGTTAAAAGGGTATTTTCCTCCACCACCCTTTGGATCAATGGAGGTAGATAAAAACTTAACACATGACAAAATCTGATTATACCCCTTGTTAGATAATACAAAGGAAGAATCTTTAGGTCCAACGGAAAAGGTAGATGATGTAAACGCCATTAAAGAATGAATCCACCAATTTTGATGATCAACACTAAATAAACGCTGCACACACCTTCCCCTGCTTATCATAACGATACTAAAAAGGATACCTTTCCACACATCTAGCAAAAACTCAAGAAAAAAAAAATGAAAACACCAGACAATGTCCTTATGTTTGTTTACTTCCCAATTAGCTTTTCAAATGCAAAAGAGGATTTTTATCAACTCCAAGAAAAAGGGGTTTTCATGCGAAGGAAATTAATTGTGTGAATATCGAAAGAAACCATATACAATTACATGTCTAGCAACAAAGGGAGTTGCAAAATTACAGGTAGAGAAGAATTCAGCCCTAATATCCAGGGAATTCATCAATTGCCCTAGCCCAGTATGGCTGTCATTCGGGTCGGGTTTGGAGAGGGGAAATGATGTTCGGCCCAATTTTCTACCTCATTTAGCGGGCTAATCGGGTCGGAGTGAGTTTTTAATTATTTTTTTTAAAAAAAATATTTGTATATATATAAAAGAGAACCCTAGGCCCGCTTACGTGGCGCCACCACAAACCAGGATTCTCTTTTAATTTAATTATTTCCAAAACTAGTTTTCCCATTTCACGAAAAGTTGTGACTTTTATGAAAATTTGCAACTTTTATGAAAAGTTGCGACTTTAATGAAGAGTTGCGACTTTAATGAATAGTTGCGACTTTTATGAAAAATTGTGACTTCTATGAAAGGTTGTGACATTTTCGAAGGGTTGCAATTTTTCCAAATAGTTGTGACCTTTCCGATAAGGCATAATAAATATTTGTTCACACTACCCTTTGTTGTCTATAAATAGAGGGATTTCCTCTCATTTAAAAAAAAACCAAAATTCTGAACTACTACTACTACTTCTTCTTCTTCTGCACAATTAAATATTCATGTACTTTGCTCCTGTTGAGTGGCTCACTACTCCATTGCTTATGCTACAAATACTAGTATGTATTTTTACAGTCATTAATTTATGTTTATATTATTAAGGATAAATGATAAGATAATATACTTTTTATTTTCTTTTACACTATTAATGTTTGTTTCTATGTAATCTTGTATGTAAGATAATATAGTGTTTTAGTTTTATTGACCGATAGATTTTAAATATTATTTTATAAATTCCGTGATATTAAACTCTCGCTTAATTTTACTAGTATATAATTAATAGGAAGAAACTTTAACATATATGTAAGTCGCATGGCAGCACAATAGAAATACATATGTAAGTTTAAGACAACAACTTGTTAATTATTTAATTACCTTTTAATTTTTTTATAGCTTTTACTTAAAAACATATCTTAAGAATTACCTTTTTTCACATTTTGAGTTTCTTTTTATACTAGTATTTAGGTATTTTTAATATTTTAAACATTGTTTTTAAGAAATAGCAAGTTGTGCTATTTTACTTGCTTAGTGCGGGTTACCTCTCCTACGTAGTTTGCGAGCTATTGCATAGGAGCGGGGGTTTTACCTTGTGCGCACCTAAAGAATAGCAGCTGCGGGTTTCCCTTGTCATAAAAAAAATAAAAAAAATACTTACTTTTATATACATTTTTAGGTTATTGAATTTGTTAACTTGTTTAACATTTTAAACATTTTTTTCTTAATCATGATGATGGTTATTTATTCAATCTAATTTGAGTTTCTATTCCTATAAAACAATTTATATAGATTATAAATAATTTTTTACCACATTTAGGGCTCCTTCTTTAAAACAATTTGACGGATTCCTGTAAAACAATTTATATGGTAAATAACAGAGTCCTATTTCTACAAAATAATTTATATTGTAACTAACAGAGTCCTATTTTTAGGTGTTATGAGGATATATTTTTTCAATTTTCTAGGGTTTGCTAATTAAACTTATTTAAATGAGAAAACATTTGATTCCAAAATACATAAAATTTAATCGCGGTAAATTATTTTTTATGAAGACTTTTAAGAAATACAGTTTCAGAGCATGTTTGTAACACCTCGTATCCGAAACAAACCAAAAAAATGCAGATTTTGAGAAGTTGAAGGTGCAACCCACGGTTGCCATCCACGGACCGTAGGTCAGACCACGGCCCGTGCTGGTGGTCAGTGGTTCACCACTGCAACCCCTCCCCAACCCAGCTAAGAAAATCGGCTAAGTCTCGACTCACGGACAGACCCACGGTCCGTAGATCAGACCACGGTCCGTGGTCTGTGTCCGTGGATCGAAGCTCCCTTTACCCAGCCTTTGACGCAAATGACGACCAAACAGCACGGACCGTCGTTCGATCCACGGTCTGTAGGTCTGACCGTAGGTGAGGGTCAACAGCCAGTTAGATGAAAATTGTTGAGTGAGTCAACTTCAGATGGTCATAACTCTTATCACAAAAGGAATTATGTGTCCCATGACCTATGATATGATAGATAATTGAATCCTCTTTCCAACGCCACCGAGTTTGCTAAAATCTGACCTCCGAGTAAAAAGTTATGCTCGTTTTAGTAAAGCCCTGTCGGGCAGACTTGACCGACGATCTCAATCTACGAACCGTAGATTGAATGACGGCCCGTCAGTCCCGTCTATCAGTTACTCCGACAGCAGTTAAGTCAGGGGTCTTTTGGTCTTTTCCTATCTCGTTGGACCCCTAAGATACGTCGTTTAGACCCTAAATCATGAGGTTTTAGTCAGTATAAGTCTAGAAACATAACTAGAACTTAGCTAAGTCAAATCATTAATCAAAACTTAGAAAAATTAGAGCGTAAGAAGGAGAAAAGAGGTCAAGAACCCTAGTTCAAGAACGCAACAAGTTTCCTCCAGTTCCAGCCCTAAAATCGCAGGATTTCTCCGTGGAATTCGTCACCAGGTATGTGGGATTTCACTAGTGGGTTCCTTTCACCCATTAGGTCCCTAGTTTTCAGTCGATTTCTTGATTCTCTTACTATGAACAGACGTATGGTTTCTAGAATTTCAGCAGATTATCATGAATTACCTATGAATATGTCCCAAATCAGATTATCATGTTTGTACTCAGTTTATTGCATGAATTTCAGAACCCTAGTTATGTATTTCTTTAGTTCTTGAATTACATATGCTAGGTTAGATATTTCAGCTATTCAGATATACATGCTCCAGTTTGAACGCCACATTATCAGTATATTTCAGCATAAACCCTATTTTAGTTATAAATCTTGAGAAGTTTCTTTTAAGACAACACTTGAGTTTTAAATTGAATTTTTGAGAAAGTTAAGATGAGTTTTGAGAAAGAGCTTCTAAAACATGATTAGTATGACACTCGAGTAGGTCATCAATGTATGAGCAGTATGGTATCTAGATATACCATCAATGTTTATGCAGTATGACTTCCCAAGTCATCAATAATCATAGTATAATATGATTTTGAATTGTTCTCTAAGAAGGAGTTTTCAAGTATGAGTATCTACATGTCAGTATTTTGAGTTATTCAATATTTCAGTCATAATGTATTCAGTTATACATGCCTCACTTTATGAATGCATCGTTATCAAATTAATTGTTGCATTCTCAGATTGCATGTTCAGTTTTGAGCTATCCATTATATACAGAAACTCAGTCATAATGTGTTAACTACTTAATCTATTGGGAGTAGCATAATACCGAGTTGGACTAGGGTTTAGCGTACCCATATAGTCCCAGAACTACGAGCCACGTAGGTGTAAGTCCCCTCTGTGGGCAATATCAGTTAGTGATCACGCCATTCATGCCTCTATACCTTTGGTTGGGTATATTGGGTCCTCTCGATGGGGCGTATACATCGGACTCCACATTTAGCTCATATGGTTTTATTGTCGGTTATTAGTAGCTCCCACAGTTCAGTCAGATTCTATTGCATTGACCATTTATCAGTATATCCAGTATTTAGTTTCAGCATGTTATAAATTGGTCACTGCATTCAGTTATCTCAGCATTCAGTATCTATATCATGTTCAAATTATTTCATTGTTTTATTGCTTTGTTCAGTTATGATGTTATTTCAACTTTACTCTATCCTGCATGCTCAGTACCTTTCAAGTACTGACGCATACGTGCGCTACATCTTCTCGTGATGTAGGTTCATGTTCTCAGCATCCAGATCACGCTTAGATCGGTTCTCGATCTTCAGTTCAGCAGCATCAGTGGTGAGTCCTCATTCTTCGAGGACTAGTGACATGTTTATCTTTATCGTTTTTAGTCCTTTAGTTTCAGTTTTGCTAGGTCTAGTTGGGGCACGTCCCAACATTTCTAGTTTAGAGGCTTATTTCAGACATAGTTAGATTCAACTTAGTATTGAGTTAATATCTTCTTTGTATTAAACTCATCAGTTTTCATTTATCTCAGTTATAGTATATGAGTATTCCCCATTTTTTCATTTTTATTTATGATTTAGCTTCCGCATCAGTTTATTATCTTTAGTATGCTCATGATCATGCCAGAAGGGTTAGCTTGGGATCACTTGTGGTCCTAGGTCCCGTGTCCGCGTCTCGGGGTAGTCTCGGGGCGTGACAATGTTCCTGTAACTTCCACATTTATGAAAGTTAGAACTTCCATTAATTGTCCACTACCACATTGATGGAAGTTACCTACAATTATATATAGTATTCACTTGTTTTTTTACTTTTTTACACTTCTTAGAGTTCAGTATTTTTATTTTGTTTCATTTTATTTAATAGAATAATCAATAATGGTGGCTATTTGTGATTTCATTAGCGAAATTAAGAGCAACTCAATGTGCTAGAAATTAAAATTTCGTAAACACAGATCGCTATCGACCTGATTGTCCTTTTTCTATTGAGGTTATTCTGATGGATGAAAAAGTGTTTTTGATAATACTTACACTTGATTCTAATCTGTTTTATATGTGTGATTTTTTTTTTATAACGCTCTATACACAATTCAAGTCCTAATTATTTATTTGATTGAATGTGTAGGGCGATCGCATTCATGCGAGTCTTGGCAGATTTCTATTCTCAAGTTTGATAGAACAAATTAAGAAAATGAGAATGTACGTCATTAAGAATTTAGTGGGCTTTCCAAATACTATGAAATCAAAGATCAAAGACCACAAGTTTGAATTGTTATTCATACAAAAGACTGTTGTTGAGATGATAGAGGATCCAAATTTCAGCATGTTTATTTTCAAATTTAAACCTTATACACATCTTACAAATCCACAAGAATTTGACAACACATAACTATTTGGTAATTAACATATTTTTTATTTTTTTCAATTAAATTTTTTGTTTTATTACATAATTTATATTTTTTCTATTATTTTGTTCCTTATTCTTACTTCAATTATTATTTATACCGAATACTCATTTATGTTGTCACTGTTTTGTAAATAT